TGACTGGGCTCAATATCTTTTTTAATGGGATAATCCATGTGTGATGATATAACTACATATCCTTGATATGAGATTTGTTCCAAATACTCTATATAAATATGATGGATGCTTTAAAGGAAGCAGTAGAAAAGAAAGATTCATAACATCATGGAACTTGTATTCCTGAGGTAGTAACAGAATATAAGAAGATAGTTATGTGTTTACTATTTAATTCAATATTAATAAATAGTACAAATAAATAAAATTTGCTTAAAAGTATATAAATGGGAATTAAAATCACAGAAAACTAGACTGGAAGAGGGCATAAAAACAAATTGGAAAGATATAAAATAACAAATATGTGAAGATGGTGGTAACAATGAAAAACATTACATGCAATAAAAAATGAGATATTCAACACTAGGAGAGAGCATAAATTTATTAAATGCTCAGAGTTTCATAAAACACTCAAAATAATGGCCTCAACCGATAAAACTTTTTCTATCCTAATGGTTTCTAATTTCTTCTTTAATCTTTAAGTTACCTATAGTTTTTACTGAGAAAGAAAATTTTTTAAGATGTTAATTATCTTCACAGAACTGTGACTTTCCGAAGACATACCTTGAGAAAGAAGATCATTTGTTTTCATAACTGCTATAGTAATAAAAAAAAATTCAAATATCAAAATTTTTTTGTACTTTAAAAGTTCTCTCTTAGGCATTTGAGCTTATTTGCAAATGAATCTTTTATAGTGGTCTCCAAGGACTCTTACTTACTGCAGCTTTTCGTCTTTCACAGGTGAGAAACTTCAAGTGCCTACCATAATTTTATTTGAGCCTTTACTATCCTTTCAAAGCAGGTGCAAAAAACCTAAAGAGCCATGATATTCATCACTCAGCAAGATTTTTATGTATGTAACATTGAAAGAAAGCTGCCAATTTGATTTGAGATTACTTTACAAAAGTCTAAGAGAACTGAGTTACTACTCAGCACCTTGCCTCACTCAAATAGGCTATTTTATTCTCAATTATGTTGATTATCCTTTGTCTGACTTCAAGGATTTTCATTTAAAATTATGCCATGTGCATATTCTCAAAAATATTCTTATTCTTATTGATAAATAAAGAAGATAATGGTTAATGAAACAGTATTTTTATATTGAGCAGAAGGGGTAATAGCTTAAAAGTGATACTGAAAACTACACATTGCTTTGTGCTATGGTAGTAGAATTCTATTGAACATTATAACTTTTCATAGTGATATACTATAGCAATTTGTGTCATGAAAATGACAATGCTCAAACATTATTATTGTGTTTATATATTTTTGCCATCATGTTATACTAAAAAGATAAGAAACCAAGAACCATTGAGTCTAATTCTATGTTTCACCTACAGTACCTAATCATCTCTTAAGTGTTTTTCCCTGAAAATTTATCATCTTATAAACATCAATAATCATTTTAGTAAGGTATTTTTGTTTAATTCTAATGGTTAGTTGGAAAGCGATACATACATGAGTGTTTTAGTTCTGTTTTATAAGCATTTTTTTAGTCCACTTAGTCCTGGGTAATTAATTTTTGTTTTGTTAATTTTGAGCTGTGCAGACCACCTTCATTAAATCTGCTTCTGGACTAAAGTATCCTGGAAACACTATCTCAGTCAGTTCATGGTTTTGAAGTCTTAGACTAGGAATCCTCTGTGAATGGTATAGTGGTTAGGAGAATGTACTTAATTGTAAGAAATACATGTTTAGAAAATTGTAGTAGAATATTGTGATGTTCCAATTTACTTTCAAGTGATCCAGTAACAGTAAAATACATCTCACATATTTATGGATGATATGAAGCCAATATATTAAAATACGTATTATAATTAAATACAGGTAAAACTAAGTAAATGGTATAGTGGTGTTTATTCTACTATTCCTCAATTTTTTGTATTTATTAAAATTTTTATAACAAAAAATTATATATAATACAAATTACTTCAAAACAAAATGTGTAGTAATTTTTCAAGGAAAAAACTCAGGAATGAATTTTGCTGAGTAAAAAGGCACAATGAACATTTATCCATATTTATGTTGTATTATACTAAGACATTTCTATGTACATTATGAAAAAAAAAGTTGTAGGCTTAGATTATGGCCTCTCTCTGTGACAATAGGATCTAGCTAGTAATGGAATGCATCAGTCATTTAAGAAAATATTAAATAGAAAAATGAGTTTATCTGCTATTTATAAAACAGTTGATTTTATCACATAAGATATGAACTGGTCTGGTTAGAACTTAAGGATTCTTAAATCTATTTGTATAAAATGATTTTATCTTACCTGAAATTTATTAAATGCTCCAATTTCTGATTTATACACAGTAAGTCTTTATAGTACCAGACTTGAATTCTAAAAATACAAAACAAAACATAAAAACTTAAATTGTTTTTATTTATAGCTTAACTTTGAAAAAATAGAAAATGTTGTTTTTCATCATATATTAAGATTCAGATATTTGGTACTTCAGGTTCATTTGACACAAAAATCTCCTTACTATTATCTACTACCTAACCACCCACTAGAGTGTTAATTTTATTTATCAATTTATATTTAGAAATATTGTGTCTAATGCCTTTCTTAAACTTTCCAATAACATCAAATTAAAATACATATTTTCTCTGTGTCACATAGATATTTTTATTACACACAGATAATCTTATTATAAAAAAAGTACACAAAATAATCAGTAAAAGTTATTTTTTAGCTCCCTCACTCACTTCCATTCACTAACAGTGAAATAATAAAAACAGTTAACAGTTTGGAGTTTACCCTTCTTGATATTTCATATGTATGTGTGTGTTTATATATAATATACATGCATACAAAATGATTAGTATATTTATCTGTTATGTAATATATTCAATAAAACAACATTATTCAATATTAGATTTTCACTTAGTAATATTTCTTATGATTCATTCTATATCCTTGGATGAAAATAGAGCTTATTCTTTAAACAATTTTATAGTATTACATGCCATGGAGAAGGACATGATTTCTATTCAATATTTGTTATTCGTTATAGAATTATGGATCACTGGTTATTCACCTTGAAACAGCACATAATTTTAGAATCTGTGTTTGGTGACAAGCAGTCCTATTTTAACTTAAAAGGTTGAAATAGAAATGATTGGTGAAAATTTGACATAAAAATAATGTTTTCCTATCAAGTGAAGTCTCAGTGATATTATTTTGGTGTACAAATTAAGTTTCCACAATAGTCCAAAAACTTTTTAAAAGACAGGAGAATTTAAGCATCACATGTCACTCATAAATCCAGATATGACAAACTTGACAAACATACTGTCCTGTGGATATCAATATATAGTCAAGCTTTTATTGGAAATTTTTTTCCAGCACATCATTCATAAGTTTAAATTAATTAACTAGTTGAAATTTAATTATTTCTGTGAGTTATATTAGTATTTAATTTGTAAATATGTTTTGACTTTATAATTGCCTAGAGACTTATAGCATGAGGTTATATGTAAAGTATTATTACGTTTAATATTTTAATAATCAATTTAAGATGAGGAATTTGCAATAATTTGATTACTTTCTTTAAAAAAAGGTCACATCTTATTCAACTTTAAGAGACATTGACATAGAAAACAGCCTCAGCAAGAATTACATGATATCTAGTTGCTATGCACTGAACATTTAGTTTCCAAGGAGATATATACATATATATATCTTAAACTTCTTTAATATCAAAAGTGAAAATGAAAGCATATTTGTACCTTTCAATGAAATGAAAAAAAATTAAACAGAAAGTTTTCCAATTCACTTAAAAATATAGATTATAAAATCCATTAAGGCAATGACAACATAGTTTACTCCCTATGGTTTTGCCAGTTTCTAGGATATTTTGATTGCTCAAAAAATGGCTTCTTAAATATATATATACACACACACACACACACACACATATATACATATAGAAGTAACAGATTATTTCATATTGCAGATAATTATATTATTTTGCCTTTATAAAAAAATACTTTTTGATGAAGAGCAATTTGAGTGGAGACCTGAGGAATTAGTCTTAGAATTAAGGCATTCATTTCCTTAGGGGGGAAAAAAAAATCTGTCTAAATTTTAAGATGGAGAGAATGCTTTAAAGCATTTAAATGCATAAATTAACTAACATAAATTAATAAGACTACATGCACCTGTAAAAGATTCAGGAGGAAGGTAGGACTTCTAGAATGGCAGAAAAAGTTTCTCCAAAATTCTACATCTCCATAAAATCTATGACAAAATTGGCAAAAAGTGTCAAAATCAGCTTTCCAGAATTCTGGATTTAACCAGTCTTTCAACGGTGGTATTTAACCAGTTAAATTCTGGATTTAACCAGTCTTTCAACAGTGGTAGAGTGGTATTCGATAGTAATAGTTAAATCTTTGTAAGAACAGCCAGTTTTTGACATATTAACTTTTCCTATTCACATCGCCCTCTCCTCACGTCTACTGTAGCCTTTGAAACGACAGCCTCACAATCCATGAAAGCTGTGAAAATGAGCAACCTAGTAACCCTGGCTTAGTGTGCAGCTAATGTAAAAGCACTATCCCCAGAGAGCTGCCACTATGACATGTATGGCAGGACTCTGTAGAAGTCTCATCCCCAAGTTTGATTGTCTGATTTTGAACTTGATCAATGGGAAAAATTTTCTCCCTGAAGAAGGTGACAACCTTAATGGCTATTATTTAACATTATATCGACTATGACAATGATATCAGTTGGGTCAATCTATGGAAGTAAAGCATTATAGGGAGGGAAGACATGAGGACTAAGATGTCCATAGTGGTTTTGAAAAGCTCCTCATTTTCCTAGGGATTTAAAGGTCATGTGTAACGTAGGAGCTCCAGACCTGGAACTTGCATCTGGGCTTTGGATATTCTGAAAAAACAACCCAGAGGACCAAGGGGTGAGACATGTTGTTTATTACTCATGAGGCAGAGGAGCTCTGATGGCGGCTGGTTTGAGCTGCAAGAAAATGTACCTGGCCAAGAGCAAGCAGAGTTTTACTCACACAAGCAGAGGAAGGGGTTATCTCATTGGGGGAGCAGCTGCTTTCTCAGGTGGATTGGAGCAAGATGTGCTGCAGGAGCAGATAGTGTCCAATGGAGCAACAGAAAGAGCAGATAACATCCATGAGAAACAGCAGAATATGTCCTTGGCAGCAGGCACTGCTGAGAGCCCTTTGTTTACTGCCTTCCTGGTGGCTGCTGAGCAGGCAGACATCTGTCTTCTGAGTACATGGAAGGGCCATGTTCTGAATTGACCCCACAGCCATGTGCATGTGCAGGGCTTTGTGCTGGCCAGAGAAACCCATAGAATACACTGATGCTTCAGCTGTGGCTGACTTTGAGGCTCTACGCAATCAGGAAGTGAAAAGCTAAAGCAGAGTTGCAGATTGCTTACAGACTATTGAACAAAGGAACCCAAATTAGAAATAAAGTTGTATCTATGTTATTGGAAGTATTTTAAAGGTAAACTGTATTCACATCCCCTGTGTTATGCTTATTTTTAAACTTTGCATACATCAGAACTATTTTTGGTTTGTTATAAGCTACTATTGTAATTTTCTGGCACTTTGAAAGAACTCAAAGATTGTAAATAAACACATTTTTACATTAAAAATTTTAAAAAAAATATTAGCATAATTATCTCAGGATCTATCCATGTTGTCACAAATGGCAGTATTTCATTTTTTCTTATGGCTGAGTAATATTCTATTGTATATATGTACCATATCTTCTTTATCCAATTATCTATCAAAGGACACTCAGTTGTTTTCATGCTTCGGCCACCATGAATAATGCTACTTTGAACACTGAGACGCATATATCTTTAGGGATAAATGTTTTCAAAATTTGGGGGTAGATACCCAGAAGAGGGATTTCTGGGTCATATAGTAATTCAATTCTTACTTTTTTTGAGGAATATCCATACTGTTTTCCACAATGGCTATATCAATTTACATTCCCACCAGCAATATGAGAGTTCTTTTTTCCCCAGAACGTCTCCAACACTTGTTACTTGCCTTGTTGATGATAACAATTCTAACAGATATGAGGTGATATCTCATTATGATTTTGATTTGCATTTCCCAAACAGCTAGTGAAGTTGTGCATCTTTTCATATGTCTGTTGGTTATTTGTCTTCTTGGGAGAAGTGTCTATTCAGGTCTTCTGCCCATTTTTAAATTGGATTATTGTTATTTTATCGTTGAGCTGTATGAGTTCTTTGAATATTAGCCCCTTATCAAAGATATTGTTTGCAAATATCTTCTCTCATTCATTTGGTTGGTTTTTGTCTTGTTGATAGTTTCTTTTGGTATGCAGAAGCTTTTTAGTTTAACATAGTCCCATTTATTTAGTTTTGCTTTTACTTCCCATGCCATTGAGGTCAAATTCATAAAATCCTCTCTAAATCCAAGGTCCATGAGTTTAGTATATATGTTTTTTCTATGCAACTTATTACTTCAGGTCTTATATTTAGGTCTTTGATCCGTTTTGAGTTAATTTTGGTGTACAGCAACAAATAGCAGTCTTGTTTCATTCTTTTGCATGTGGCTTTCCAATTTTCCCAGCACTATTTATTGAAAAGACTTTCTTTACTCCATTGTATGGTTTTGGATTTTTTGTTGAAAATTATTTGCAAATATATTCAGAGATTTATTTCTGGGTTTCAATTCTGTTCCATTGGTCTGTGTGTCCGTTTTTCTGCCAATACCATGGTGTTTTGCTTATTGGCACTTTGTAGTATAATTTGAAGTCAGCCAGTGTGATAACATCTGCCTTATTCTTTTTCTCAGGATTGCTTTGGCTATTTGGGGTCTTTTGTGAATTCATACAAATCATGCTAAGCAAAATAAGTCAGACAGAAAAAGTCAAGAACCATATGATTTTACTCATATGTGGGATATAAAACTGAAAGCAGCAAACAAACAAGACAAACAGACAAAAACTCATAGACACAGACAATAGTTTAATGGTTATCAAAGGCAAAGGGAGGAGGGGCATAGTAAATAAGAATAAAAGGGGTCAAATATATGGTGACAGAAAGAGATCTGACTTTGGGTGGTGAAAACAATGCAATATATAGATTGTATATTATTAAATTGTACACTTGAAACCTACATAATTTTATTAACCAATGTCAACCCAATACATTTTTAAAAATAATTTTAAAAAACTGAAAAAAAAAATAGAGCATCTTAACAAAGTCTGGGACACTTATTGATTCAAAGAATATAAAGAAATTTACATCTAATCATTAACTAGCCAATAAGCTAAATGAGCAGAGATTTCAAAAGTCATAAATGTTAGGGAATATAGACTTACAGAATCAATTCAGGAAAGTCACTAAACAAACACAAACCCCCCCCCACACACACAATAAAATCACCACCACCAACAATACCTAAGGAAAAAAGGGAGTCTGGTATTCATACTGGCCAATTATTATTATGTAGGACATCCAGTTTTTAACAACAATAACAACAAAATTATTTCAAGAAATGCTAAAAAGAAATCAGAATATTAGCAGATTGGAAAAAAAATGTTATCCAACCATATGTGTATGTACTGGAACATGCTTTAGATGAAAAGACCAGCTCTATATTAAAGGCACACATACATTGAAAGCTAAAGGATAGAAAAAGATATATCATGCAAACAATAATCCAAATAGATCTGGAGTGACTCTATTATCAGACAAAATATAATGTAAGAAAAAATTGTTACTAGAATCAAGGAAAGACATTTTAAATTATAAAAATGTTCAAAATATTGGGGAGCTATAGCATTTATAAGCATGTATGCACCTAATAACAAAGTTCTAAAATGCACTTTGTTATATAAAACAAAAACTGAGAGAATTGAAGGAAAAGATAAAAAAATCTAACAATAACGATTGGATATTTCAATATCCCACTTTTAACAAAGCATAGAACAAATAGCTAGAAGAGCAAAAAGAAAATAAAAGATTTGACTAAAACTGTTTAAGTCAAATATCCCAAGACACATCTACAGAGCATTTCACCCAACAATAGCAGAATACAAATTCTTCTTAAGTGCACATAGAACATTCTTTAGGATACACCATATGCTAAACCACAAGACAATAAATTTCAAAAGATTGGCGTTAGGTGAAGCATGTACTCTTACCACATGGAATTAAGTTGGAAATCAAGACCAAAAAAAATTGGGAAATCCATTAATATATGGAAACATAAAAACCGACCTAAACAACTAATGAGTCAGTGAATAAATCACAAGGAAAACTCAGAAATACCTTTATGTGAAAGAAAATTAAAACACACATACCAAAATTATGGAATGTAGCCAAAGTGTTCCTTAAGGTGAAATTTATAGCTGTAAACACCTACATTAAAAAGAAATAAAGATAACAAAAAATAATCTAACTTTTTATTTGAACAAATTATAAAACAAGGAGTTAACAAAAAGCAAATAGAAGAAACAATATAAAATTGATTATTCATTTGAAATAAATGACAGGGGAAATAGTAAAACAATAATGAAAATCAATAAAACCAAAAATTAGATCTTTGTAAAGATTAACAAAATTGACAAACTTTTAGTTTGACTGACCAAAAAAAAGGGGACTTAAATTACTAAGATCGAGATTGAAGGGACATTTCTACTGATCTTACAAAAAATATTATAAGGAAATACTATAAACAACCATTTGCCAAATATATCTATATTTGATATATATATATGTATATATATATTTGAGATATATATCAGATTAAATGGAAAAAAATCCTAGAAAGATACAAACTACCATAAGAAATTACTAAGAAGAAATGGAAAATCTGAATAGGTGCATAAAATGTAAAGAGATTGAATTAATAATTTTGAAAATTCCCACAATGAAAATTCCAGGCCAAGATGGCTTCAATGGTAAACTCTACCAAAATTCCACAATATATTTAATATCAATTCTTTACAAAGTTTTCCAAAGATATAAGAGTAGTAAACATTTTTTTTCCTCACTAATTCTATGGAGCCAGTATTCCTCTGATATCAAAACAAGACAAAGATATCAAAAGAAAAGGAACTACAGAGCAATATACTTTAAAAATATAGACAGAAAATTCTCAACAAAGTTCTAGCAGCCAAATCCATCAACATATCAAAAAGAGCATGTGTCTTGACTAAGTGGGATTTACCGTAAAAAGGAAAGGTTGACATCCTAAAATCAATCACTGTAATATATTGTATTATAAAATGGATAAAATCCTCATGCTTATCTTAATAGATGCAGAAAAAAGTTTTTGACAAAATACAGTACCTTTTACTAATTAAGTAGTCAACAAACTAGAAATAGAAAGGGACTTCCCTATCTTAACAAAGGTCATCTATAAATAACCCACAGCTAATATCATATTAATGGTTAGAGAATGAATGTTTTCCCTGTAAGTAGCAAGACAAAAAGATCACTCTTGCCTCTTCCTTTCAACATTGTAGTGGAAATACTATGTGGGGAAATTAGGCAGGAAAAAATTTCAAAGACATTGATTAGGAAGGAGGATATAAAACTATCTCCCTATAATGTGATGCATATGATCTTGCATATAGAAAATCCTAAGCAAGCCCCCCAAACACTGTTAAGACTAATAAGTCAGTGAGTGTACAGAATACAAGTTCAATATATAAAAATCACTTGTCCAAAAAAGAAAACAATTCTACTTTCTGTAATATCAAAAATATTATAATACTTGGCAATAAATTTAGCAAAAGAAAATTACTAAATATTCTTAATTGAAAATCTTAAATTCCTAATTATTTTTAAAAATGATTTTTAAAGTATAAAAATACCAGATGCTATAGGTGTAAAAAATAAAAAAATAAAGGATTGTAAGCTGACAAGTTTCTTGCAATCTGTGAAGTCAACCAAGTGTTACCTTGCCTAAAAAAAAATAATAATAAAATAAAATATCAAAATAATGGAAAACTATCATATGTTTATAAATTAGAAGACTAAATATTGTTATGGCAAAATTCCTGAAATTAATCTACAGATTCAATGCAAGCTTTATTAAATAATAATAATACAATAATAATAAAGTTCAGGATGAAATCATATTCTAGAAGATTTTGATACTGGTCTTTTATCATAATAAGTGAATTTTAGAATCTCCTATTTGTCAATATTAAAATGTCACTGTATCTTTGCACATGACCTTGTAACTGCATTTCAGTGATCAGATTTGGTCTATAGA